CAAAATGGTTTCCTAAGGATATCTTGAATGAATTAACAAATTTATGTTAACAAGTAACAATTTTTAGTAATTTCAAAAATATTCTGTTGAAAAGAAAACTAAACCTAAAATTTCATTCGTGTTTGTAACTAAATTCAACATTCAATTTTAAGTTTTTCATAGAAAAAACATATTTTTTTCACTTTCTATTCTACCTTGAATTTTTCTCACCAACCAAACAAAACCAAACTTAGAACTGCAATAACAAAATAAATTGGTAAAAAAAGAAAAAGAATAGCCAAACACTGAAAATTGCCAATGTTGAAATGGAGCTTACCAATGGAACTTGAAAGGTGGTAGAAACATAACAAATCGACAAGAAGTAACCTAAAATCAGCAGAAATGGAAAGAAATGAGTAGGGGAAAGTGTGATCCCTTTCCATTTTTTTTTTTTTGAATATTCAAGGTATTTTTGGCTAGAAAATGCCATGAATAATCCCTTACAAAAAATTGAATGGGGTTATTCAAGGCATTTCTAGCCAAAAATGACTTCAATAATCTCTTCCCTTTTTTTTTTTGGATCATTCAAGGTATTTCTGGCCAAAAATGCCTTGAATAATCCCTTTCCATTTTTTTTAAAGATTATTCAAGGTGTTTTTTGCTAGAAAACGCCTTAAATAATCCCCTTCCATTTTTTTAAGATTATTCAAGGTGTTTTCTGTCAAAAACGCATTCAATAATCCCTTACCATTTTTTGTTTGGATTATTCAAGGCGTTTTTAGCTATAAAACACCTTGAATAATCTCTTACAAAAAATTGAATGAGGTTATTCAAGGCGTTTCTAACTAAAAATGCCTTGAATAATCCTTTTCAATTAAAAATTGAAGAGGATTATTTAAAGTGTTTTTGACAAAACACACCTTCAATAATCTCTTTTAATTTTTTTTTTGGATTATTCAAGACGTTTTTTGTCAAAGACGCCTTAAATAAACCCCTCAAATTTTTTTTAGGGATTATTCAAGATATTTTTGGCCAGAAACGCCTTCGATAACCCCATTGTATTTTTTGTAAGGGATTATTAAAAGCGTTTTTCATGTCAAATGCCATATATAAACCAAATATTTTACTAGCAAAAACCTACAATTGACTTGCATTCATTTCTAAACATGCTTTTCAAAATGATAATAGCTATTTCATAATTTTTTAGTCAAGTCAAATTTGGAAATAATGTTACTTTCTCCCTCGAAATCCTAGAATACCACAAGGAGAGGTAGATTTTTTATTCCCGAACTTTGTGTACTATTGGGAATCTATCAGTTTTCCCTGAAATCAAATTACCCTGAATCAAACGTTAAAATCAAATACCCAACAGTAAGATTCCGAAGAAAAATGTTTGGATTCCCTTGAACCGAATGCCCCATGAGTTTTTTTTTGTTTGTAGATTTGTTTTTAGCAGCGTTTACATAAACGCCGCGAAATTTATAAAAGTTAAAGTATATAGTAGTGTTTAGGTCAACAAATGTCACAAAAATATATTTTTAGTGATGTTTTTAAATCTAAACACCGCTATATAAAAATTTAGTGGCGTTTTATAAAAAAAATTTTTGATAACCTTATAAAAGCACGAAACTTTATAACATTTATTTAAAACCTTCGCTAAAAAAACGGCCACTAAATCTCCATTTTCATATAGTGTCTTCAGAAACATTAACAAAATGCCAACAAATTATTCAACTCCAACGGCTTTGTTTGTTTTTTCTTTTTTAAATGTGATGCCAGCCCATGTAAGCTGTACAAGGAAAAATGGAAAAGCTCTTAAAAGAAGTATTGATTTGTTGTTCAAAACAACTGTCTCAACTATAATTATGTTATTCTAGTTTCTCAGGGCCACGCCCCCTCCCCTCGACCCCCCCCCCCCCCCCCCCCCCCCCGAACCAATGCATTTTACAAATTACATTCCTTCCTTCTAGCTGAGAATCTTAAGCCAGGCAATAAAGATGGAATGAAACAAAAAAGCATTTCAGATTTCAGATGTATTCTTTATTTTTACATTAAATACTGACTAATTATAAGTGCAAAGAAAACGATTGTTACGTAAACAGGCAGGTCCCAGGTTAGGTTGGTCGCTCACTCACACGCCTTTACAAAAGTTGATCACCTTCTCTTTTCTTGTTTTTGTTTTTTTTTTTTTTGGGTGCGTCTGTGCGTGAAACATGTACAAAAGCTCGCTTTAATTGCAAATTAAGTAGAGAAATAGTGGCTTCCCACCTAACCAAAACCACCTAAAATTTGAAAGCTCAACAAACTTATGATTCCTGGTGGCTAGGCTTGAAAACAAACGCATTATCTTAGTATAAATTTGTAAAGCCATCATTGCCATCATTGCTAGCCAGCTGCATATGGCTTGAGCACAGAAAGCACGGCGACATATGCAGACAAACCATTCTTTCTGGCACAAACAACTAACAAGGACCGAGCTATATAGTCTCACTGCATAAAAATTCTACTCAAGCCAATTGGTTTCTTTCCTTTTCCAACTTTGAACCATAAGGCTATCTGGATTTGAACAGGGCTTTTGCATCTAACAATCTGTTTGTTAGCGGTTAGCCTAGAATTAAATTCAAAAAAAGAACAGTCAAATCGATGAAAATAGTACAAGAGTTTACAGAAAGTAAGATACAGATATAGAATGCTGCCTTTCTTTAAAAGGAAAAACAACAGCAAGATGGCGCCACCCTCAAATTTTTTAATCGAGTCCAACTTTAGATAGGTATGCATTTACTTGGCTCAGCTATATTACATCCACGATATACAGGATAGTAGTTGAAGCAGGTGGCAAACAGAGTGTGGCTTTTTTTCTTTTAGAAAATATTTAGATTAAGGTGAAGTTCGTAAAATTTTTTATTAAAAATAATTAAATAAAAAAATAAATTAAAAGATTTATTATATAAATTAAATATATAAAATTAAAAAAAAATTAATAAATTTTATATTTTTTAAATAAATATTTTTAATAATAATATTGATAAAATTTTTATTATTAAATAAAAATAAATCAAATTTAAATTATAAATAGCATTTTTAATAAATTTTTACATATTATTGATTTTTATATTAAGTTTTATCAATCTATTAATTTAAATTTTTTATTAAAATTTTTATTAAATTATTTTTTTTAAATTCATAAACTTCACTTAAAAAATTTCATGTAATTTTTATCTTTTTTTTTTATTGTCTAGGTTTGAATATGTTAAAAAAACTGTAAAAAGTTTTTTTTTTTTTTTTTTTATGAATTTGCTTCTCTTAACCCAAAAAAATGTAGCTGTAACAATTTTATAGACCACATCGCCCATTTATACATATTTTTGCCAGTCAACAAAGTGTTTATTAGCAGCAAAATGGATCAAACATTACATATGAAAAATCTTATTTGCAAACCCGAAAAAAAAAGGAAAAGAAAAACCTCCTTGAAAGGTGTTTTTGAGGTGAAAAGTGAGTTTGGTATAAAAAATAAATTTATAATCTTTATATTTTTAATATTTTATTATTTTATCCATTTTTTTAAATATTTAAAATTTTTATTATACTTTTATTATCATATTTTTTACACACTTTTTTCTCCCAAAACTTTTTAACTATGACAGCAATGATAAATTACCCTTAAATCAATTATGATATATATATATATGTATGTATATTTATTTATTTATTTTAAAAAAGCAAAAGCCGAATAATATGACATCCATCACAAGGACCCTAATCATTATTCTATTTCTTTTTGTTTGGTTTTGAACTTTTAAGTCAGAAGACGTCGATTTCCCGATACAAATCATTCAAAATTTGTTGCATTCCTCATGCATATTCTATATTTCTGAGAATTCATTTATTTCAAGTACATGATCGCATGACACAAATGAAAGGAAAAAGAAAAGAAGGGAAGTGAAAAGCATGCAATTTCAAGAGTTATTTATTGAGTATATTTTTATATGCTGATAATAAAATTTCTTAACTCGACAAATAAATTATAAAATTATCATATTTTTTTTTTAAATATTTTTCTCACTAACTCTTACAATGAACTTCAAAAGCTTCAATATAAATAAATATTTACGAATGGGATAAATTTTTTATTATTTTTTTCCGTCTTTTTGTTTTTTAATCTCAGGCTTCTCATCATGTTTGCCTCACTTTTCCTTTCTGGCCCTCCACTATACATTATTTAAAGTTTATATAAATTTCCCAACAGTCTAAAGGGCTTATCTAACTCGAAGCTGCCATCTGTCAGTTATTCAAACAATTGGTGTTCCACACGAAACATGTTCCAATTGGCATAGAGCAAGAATAATATCACTCGTCATGCCAGATGCAAACCATCATTTGCCGAAATGATTACTTCTAGAAATACCCAGGTTCCCTTGAGAAGAAAAAAACAAAAACAAACAAAAGACACCGAATTTCCCAAGCACATAAAAGATGAGATCTTTTGTATCGTTCTAGGGGTTAACAGTTGATGATTCGGCTAGAATGTGAAGCAACCACCTTTCAGTCGAAATATACTACATATTCTCCCATGCACTCTGTTGGGTCAGTGTAGCTGGTAGAAACTCGTTTACAAGTTTTCCTGTTTGCCGGAAATCCAGGGGCGGAGAATAATTACTCATTTGTGCAAAGGGTAACGTAATCTACTCCGTCTCGTTTGATGGTAAAAAACTCTATTATTAGTAAGAGTCTAGATTTTTAATTTCAATAATCAAAATTACAACGTCAACTATTACCAAAAAAAAAAAGTACCAAAATAAGTCAACAATTACATATACAATAATGACACAACATAAAGGAAAGACAAGTCTTGATTTGGGAGCAATTGAGATGAAGTGTAACAAACTATTGATAATGGGCAGATTAAAATATGCGACATCAATTTCCAAGCTCCTGCAGAGATTCATACTCTATTTTCTTTAACTAAAAGCTACTTCAGTTCCTGCATATCCTAGTAAATAGAATCCACCATAGTATGTCGTCATAAAAAGTTAGAAACCATGATTGAGCTGAATGGTAAAAAATGAAACATGCATTAATCATAGCAATGTGAGAAGATGGAAACAAAAAGAATAAGCTAAATACAGGCACCAAACGCCACAAATAAGAAGGCTGAAATATCCATATCCTCAACTTAAAAATATTTAAATGCCTAATGAGATTACAGGCTCCTACTTCAAAGAAAATTAATATCAAATAGAAATATGGAATCTGAAGGATTACATAAATCGAACAATAACTTGTGATCTTCCAAATCTACACAAGTGAAAATGGTTCCAAATTATAGGCATGATAAAGAAGAAAATATACAGTGCAAAATACCACAAAACAATTGGGTACACAGTAAGTTTTACAGCCAAATTCTCTCCACCCTTTCCGAAGTTTGTTTGCTCAATAAGCAGCATATATATTTCTCTGCAAAACCCCACATGCCAAAAACAAAACTCAAAACCATGGGCAACTTGCTGTCAGTCATGCTCCTTACAACCATACAAAAGAAAAAAGAAATGAAAAAGTGAATTGCCCAAAAATTAGAGATGAATAAATTAAATTTCCATATGCAAGTTTCATAGTGAGAATAATACCCTCAGTCGCAGAAAGGTTTAACCTTAAACCTGTAGATAAACTTCTTCCTTTTTGAAGTTGGGTTGTCAACAGTAAGCAATAGTTTACCCAATTCACCAACTTTGAAGCTTTGAGACACCACTGGTTCATCTTTTTGTGTCATCTTCGTGGGTTTCTGAATGATGACTGTATAGCTATCTTTAGCATTAGGCATAAATTCAGCTCCATAGCTCACCTCCCACCCAACTACCCTGATTTCCCAAACAAGAACACATTTCTGCAATGCAAAAATTCCGATTAATATAAAGGATCAGACCTTACATTCATCACTGGCACAAACGCATACTAACCAAATTTATTTAGTTAAAATTAGTAAATATATTAGATGAGGAGGTCATGGGACGAGCATATCAGATATAGTTATAGCATGAAGAAACAATGAAATTGAACCTCATAGATTGTTATTTCAACAGTTTGCTTTGTCCCTGGTTTCATAGTCATCTCAGTGGCAGGATCAGCATCGCTGAATTCTGGATTGCAATCACAATAATCCACACTCAAGCCACCATATTGAATTGGCACTTGTTCAGGTGGTATGTATCTGTTTTAAACATCAAATTTTAGGATATCAATCACTAAAAAGATACACTAAAAGATATTGAGAAAAACCCACTTAGATACTCAATTTGTTCAAAAACATTTCACTCACTTGAAAAGGGTTTCAGCGGATTTTGCTGGCCCTGCAAAAACAAACTTGCTCTTGGTTCTCTGGGTCATAAATGGACTAATCATTGTATAGAAAGCTAGATACCACCAAGGAACATTAACAAACACCTAAACAGAACATTAAACCAAAATCAATGCACCTCCGAATAATCGAAGGAAAATAAACTTTCCACATTAAGGAGGATATACAAGAAACCTGTTTTGCAACAAACTCGGGATAGTTGTCCTGAAGCAACTGAAGAGCCTGTTTCGTAGCCAACCTAAGCTCCCGTCTTCCAGGTCCAGGAGAATTCTTGAGGTCACTGACCTGGAAAATAGTGGAAACACCAGCAGGACTAAAATCAAGCTTTCTAATACTCTTCTCCAAGAACTGAATACGCCAACGCAGAAACTTCATTCGCTTCTCCTCATCCGAAAACGCTTTCCGGTACAAATCTTTATTCTGAAACTCCCCATAAACATTGTAACAAACAGGATGTCCTTCCCTATCTTGTCCATGCATGAACACAACTTTCTCCATATCATCACCGAGATCTTCACCCAAAAGCTCATCGATTCCAAACGCTTTCCTCCACTGGATCGTGTTTTTGATCATTATAAACGCATCCTTCACTTTGAAATCCCTTGCTCTTAAAAACTTCAAAAGGATAACATCACTCCTATCATCTTCTAAAAGAGGGATACCCCAAATGGTAACCTCTTTTGGTTCTTCTTTCTTTTCCTTTACTGTGTTTTCGTCACTTTTGGTTTCTGATGTGAAAAGGTGAGTGTCAACAGCTTCTTGAACAAACTGCTTTAGCTCTTCGAAAGCTTTTCTTTCAAAATCAGGTAGATCAGCCACTATGTTGCTTTCCTCTTTGAAAGAACCAAAGTTTTGAGGAATCTTTTTCTCTTCAACCACAGCAGCCAACTCTCCCTGGGCACTAGTTGTTGTAGTACTAGACACAGTAGGCTCTGGTGCACCTGCCTCTTCTTTCTCCATAATCGCCATCATCGACATCGATACAGTAACCACTTCCTGCAGCGGCAATGCAGCTGGTTGCTGCAGCTCAGATTCCGACACCGCTACAGTTGCTGCTGCTAGAGCAGGTGGCCCTTCTTCCTTTGGCTTCTCTGTTACAGCTGGTGACTCAGATTTTGACTCAACTGGGGGCGGTGGTGACAGTGGAGGCAACTCTTCCTTTTCTCCTTTATCCGATGAATCAGGTTCCAATTTTACAAGTTCCGTTGGCAGTGGAGGCGGCAGCATCAACTCTTCTTTTTCTGCTATAGTCGTTGAAACAGATTCCGTAACAGGAACAGACACAGCTGCTACAGGAGATGCCGGAGAAGGGTCTTCTTTTTCTACAACAGCGGGTGAATCAGACTCGGTTACTGTCGGCGGCAGCGGCTGTGGCGGTGGCGCATCTGCCAAAGGGGAAGCTTGGGTTGGATTCTCATCAGCCATGTGCTTATTTGAAGCATGAAAATGTGAAGGGAAAGGAAGAGAGACAGCGAATTAAAAGGAAATACAGTTGAGGTTGAAAAGCGGAAGTTAAATATCTGGAATGGGAAAAATTTTTAAAAGGGAGATTTAAACAATATATATATTATATAAAATTTTTACATTTTCGTCTAAAGAATAAAAATAATTATGAAAAAAATAACAAAATCTGAAATAATTAATAACTAAAAAATTATTTTTATTATTTTAACTTTAATTAAAAAAAATATTAAGCTCTTTTCCTTTCGTAAAATAATACTTCTTCCCTGTGTGTTTTCTTTCCTCCTTCGATTCGAGTTCCTTCTATTTGAATGTTTTCTTTCATCCATTCTTTGTTCATACTGGTTCACTCATAAAACCTAAACACTCCCTTCATGTGTGCATTTATTTCCTTATTTCTTTCTTTTTTCACTTCCATTTTCTTTGTAAAATCAAAATCAAAGGAGAAAAAAAGAAATTACAGTGCCTGCAATCTGTTTGACCCTTTTTCACTCTCCATTTGCACAATTGAGAGCTCTTTTTGTTCCAAGAAAACAATGGTCAATCAATCACAATCGAGAGTCCTCCCAAGTTTGATAATCATTGCTTTTAAACCAAATAGATTACCCTACCCTAGCTTATTAATGTAAGGATCAATTCCCTATTTATTTTTTATTACTCTCCAATTTTATTTTCTTATTGATTTTGTATTTGATGTTATTTGATTGCTATTTAATGTTATTGGTTGCTATTATTATAAAATTTAAAATTCAAAATCTAGTTTTGGATCAAGCTTGGTTAATTGGATGTTATTATTTATGATTAATTGGTTAATTGCTATTATTAATTTTTTAAACTGCTATTTAAGGTGAATGTATACATAGTGCTTTTATGATATTTATATAATAATTATAAGATATCTACATCTTAGGGTTTTAGAGCTAATTTATTGTATGTATAGATTGTTTATATGATGGAGCAACTCAATTGGGATATGCACATATTTTCTTTTGGGATATGTATGTATTATTTGGGATACATACATAATACTTTTGTGATATGCACATATTGTTTTTGGGTAGAAGAACTCATTTGAGGTATGTATATACTACATAGTGCTTTTGAGATATGTATATAATGCTTTTGGTATAAGTACATAATTCTTTTAAGATATATACATAGTGCTTTTTAGATATGTATATAATGATTTGTGATATGTACATAGTGTTTTTATATACATAGTGCTTTTAGGATATGTACATAATATATATGGGATATGTAAATAATGAAGTTGTAGAAGGAGAAAATTTTTCATTCAATATGAAGTGTCACATATCCAATAAATTTTTTTAATTAATTAATTAAAGAATTTTTAAGTGACAAATTATTTATTGCCATGTTGATCATTAATTAGTTTTATGATTAATTAATATGTCATTCGGTAATTGAAGATAAATACACTTAATCTTACCAATTAGAATTCATAAATGAGTTATCTAATTTATCTCTTAATTAAATAAAATAATTTGAGATAAATCCCAATTTTAGCCAATCAAATTTTAAGAATTTATAGGTCATCCAATCAAATTCCATTCATGGGTCATCAGCTTTTATTTCTAATTAAATTATATTTATTAAGAGATAAAATCAAAGAGGTTAAATTCTTTTCGAACTCTCCCACCCAACATCACCTGGCACAAATAAATAAAGAATTCCTTCTTGTTATTCGACATAACTTTCTAAAAGGAGCAAGACCAGAAGACAATTCTCTAAAAAGTAAGAGACCAAAAGAGAATTCTTTAGGAAGAAGAAATGCCAGAGAGCTCTCACAATTCCAAGAATGAAAATTTGAAGATCAAAAAGATAATTCTTAGATAATGAGATATGAAGATCAAGAAGGTAGTTTTAGGGAATGAAGATCAAGAAGATTAATGGAGGAGAAAAGATTTGAAAAATCAAAATCTCTGAAATTTTCTCAAGTTCAAGATGGAAGATTTGAATAACAAAGTCTCCAAAATTTAAACAAACAAATCTGAGAAAGAAGATCTGAAAATTAAAGCCTCAAAACCAAAGAATCCCAAGAATAGAACCAAGATCTAAGAGTCCTTAATTAGGAGCAAATCCCTAGATGTCATAGAAACACCATGTTTCTTCAATTCAAGAACAAGTCTCAACAACCCTTTAAACAAAGTTCATACTTCTTCAATTCAAGAACAAGTTTTAATGACCTTTGAATCGAAGTTCACATTTTTTCAATTCAAGAACAAGTCTCAACGATCCTTAAAATGAAATCCAAATCTCTTCCATTCAAGAACAAGTTTCAAAAACTGTTAAAGCGAAGTCCATATTTTTTCAATTCAAGAACAAGTCTTTATGACCCTAAAAGAGAAGTCCATATTTCTTGAATTCAATAACAAGTCTTAATGACCCTTGAAATGAAGTCCATATTTCTTTAGTTTAAGAATAAGTCCCAATGACTCTTGAAGCAAAGTCCATATTCATTCATTTTAAGAATAAGTATCAAAGAACTTGAAGCAAAGTCAATATTCCTTTAATTCAAGAACAAGTCTACTTGACCCTTGAAATAGATTTTTGCTAACGAAAAAAATTAGAGGATTTTCTTTGTAATAAGAATTCTAAAAGATTTTAATATTTACAAGTCTAATAAATAAAATTTGTTTTCAATTTTCCTTATCATATTTTTGACATGAAATTTGTGTGCACATAAGAATATATACATAATGATTTTGGGATATTTAGGGTTGATTGCTTGTTCTATGTAAAAATTTATTTTGTGATACGTTCTTAGGTAATTCGATGAATCTCTTATGAATGAATTTAAACATGATTGTATTGTTGTGTGAAGACAATCATTACTTTATGTAATTCATTATACTTAAAGGTTGGGTATTTTGTTGGAATGATTGTACTATTTATGAAAAAGCTCAATAATTTATATAATTCATTATGAGAATTTATTTGATACATTGTTAGTGAATTTTTTTAGGCATAAAGGTAAAAAAAGCTCAAACAAAAACTTAATAACCATTTAAGCTCATGATATTTTATTACAATTAATTAAGCCCTGAATCTTTTACTTTAAATTAATTGGGCCCTTAAACATCTATTTTCACTAAATTAAGCTTTCGATTGAACAAAAACAGTTAATCATTTTTCTTCTAATAAGGACTCAATTGATAAAAATAGATATTTAAGGGTTTAATTGATTGTAAAAAATAATAATAACAAGGGCTTGGATGATTACTGAATTTTAGTCAAAGGGAATTTTTTTACCCTTTAGTCATTTTTTTAACTTCATAAGTGAGATTAACAATGTGACGCATGTCCCATTTTTTTTTTTAATTACTTTTTTTTTATTTTTTTAAATATATCCTTAGGTAGCATTTGGTATCATTTTTAAGATTACCATGTTAATGTAATCACTGAGATAATCTTATTACAAAGGTGATCCTACCACTTATGATTTGAAATCATTTTGTTTGGTTAACAATAATTAATTTATACCAATTAAATATCACTGTATTTGGTATTACTAAAAATTAAACATTATTTTTTTAAAAAGTATGAAAATAATTATCCATATTGTAATAATTATACAAGTTAATAATTTAAATGTTATTTAAAAATAATAATTCATAAAACATAGTAATATTTTGTTTATTTTATAATAAATATAATTAAATTATTGAATTAATACATATATTTATTTATTAAGTAAAGTAATTTTATAATATAAATTATGTAAAAAAAAAAACAAAGACATTATATTATGTATAAAACATTAAAAAAAGTAAAAGAATACATAAATTATTTTGAACTTATTATAATGAATATTAGTTTGAAAATATAAAAGTTTATAATATAAAATAATTATAATTTTAAGAGAAATCAAAATTTTAATTCACACATTAAATGGGTAATATTGACTATTATTAATTTTACATGTATTTTACCTTGGTGATAAAAGTTTCTCATCTTTTTAGATAGGAGTTAGGTCACGCTCCAAAGTAGTTATCTATTTGATCATTCTCAGTAATTCAAGAGCATTGTCACATACGATCACCAAGTGTTTACCAAATATGTGATTTAATCACCATATACAATTTACCATAATTTTTGGAGTGATCATCCTATATCAAACACTTTTTAAGGGACGGGTGTCATTTTGTTAACTTCATTTATGAAATTAAAAAAACTAAACTAATAGTGTATGTGATAATTTCTCATTCATTAAACATAGTAATAATAATGCCTCTTCCATTTTTGTTGGTACATATTGCTTGAAGTAAATAAGTTACCATTATATTTCATAATTACTATTATAAGTAGGATTTAGGGACTTTGGACTTTGAGAAGATATAATACATGAACATGGCCAAGAATTGCCTATTGAATGCCTTGCTTATGTCTAGTAAATACTTTAAAGGAGTTGACTGTTAAATGCCTTGCTTCTATTTAAAAATTATTTTAAGGCTTTATTAACGTAGTTGAATGCCTTAGTTAAGGTAGTCAAATGTCTTAGTTGAAGTAGTCGAATGACTTGCTTTTATTTGATAAATATTCAAGGGTTTATTAAGGTAATCAATTGCCTCATTTTATGTATTTGGTTGCCACAATTTTGTTTAATAAAATTTGAAAAGTCAATTGAAATTCGACAAAGTTTGCTTTTAAAATTCTAGTTGATAACATGCTTGGTATCCTTTACATATGTACATGGTAATTTAAATAAAACACAGTGATACGAGATAAACACAATAAAAAAAAAAGATGCAAAGGTGACATGATTTAAAATTTTAGTAATAATTATATATAGGTTTAATAAAACTAAAAAAAATATTTCATGTTTTCGTATCGACACGAATTATAATATGTATTTTTCATGTAAAATATGATATGAATACATGAATTTTAATATTTTATATGATACAAATACACGAACCACTAAGTTTATGTATGGTTTCTTGCCAAAATACCTATATTTTAATTGTACCTTTTATCCCAAGTTCACTATCAAGTAATCTAATTTACTTGTCTCTTAATTATTATAGTCG